GAGGAAATAAATACCAATGGAAGAACACTTTGAAGTCAAAGGCAGAGATTGGAGAATGGTAATAAAACGTGATCCAACTCTACACTGTCACTGAGTTGTGCAGTTTAGAGCCTAAAATCCGAATAGATTGAAAGGAGAGAACAGATCCTCCCCACAACTAGTAACCAGAGAATGATGGCAAGGTTATAGTCATTTTAAGTCAAAAACTGTTCCAAGAGACAAAACAGGATATCATATTTAAAAAGGGGGCCATCTGCCAGGCGTGGCGGTACACACCTGTAATCCCAGCCAGAGGGGGCGAAGGCAGCAGGATGCTAAGTTATAGTAAGAACATACAGCACTTACCTAGCAGCCCAAGCACCACAGACACAGGGTGCGAGGGGAGGGTGAACTCACCAAGAGTTAGAATAATCATAAGCAAATCTGCATCCAACCATCGAGCTTCCAATTACTTGAAGAACACATAATTGAACAATTAAAGGAGGAGAATTCTATCCTGAACATTCAGTCATGAATATTTTAACCAGCAAGAAGAGCAATAAGAGAGAACTGGAATAAAACTCGAAAGCAGTTAGACCTCAGAGTTATCTACTGTGCACCGTTGCGGAGCAGGAAAATACAGATTTTTCTCCATTTTACTTGAAACGTTCTCTAAGACCGACCCATACGTGAGGCCAGGCTCAGGATATTGTGAAAGCCCAAAGTCACACACAGTATCATCTCTGCCACATGGCATGAACCTGGGCTGCAGGCATCCAGAAGCTCCACAGCCTTTAAAACTTGAACTCATAGGAAGTTTCTTCTCTAGCCACATGGAATGAAAGCAGAGGTCGCTAACAAGAAACAAACCTATGCTGACATGAAGTAACATACTTGTAAACGACCAATAGACTAAAGAGAGGGCTCCTGGGCTCCTGGGCTCCTGGGCTCCTGGGCTCCTGGGCTCCTGAGCCCGTGGGCTCTTGGGTTCCTAGACTTCTGGGCTCCTGGGCTCCTGAACTCCTGAGCCCTGGGGTTCTTAGACTTCTGGGCTCCTGAGCTCCTGGGCTCCTGGGCTCCTGGGCTCCTGGGCTCCTGGGTCCTGGGTTCTGGCCTCCTAGCCTCCTGGGCCCCTGGGCCGCTTGGCCGCTGGGCTCCTGGGGTCCTGTGCTCCTGGGCTCCTGGACTCCTGGACTCCTGGGTTCCTGGACTTGGGATCCTGGATTCCTTGGCTGCTCCTGGGCCCCTGTTCTCCTGGGTTCATGAGCCCCTGGTCTTCTGACCTCCTGGGCCCCTGGGCTCTTGGGTTCCTAGACTTCTGGGCTCCTGGGCTCCTGGTCTTCTGGGCTCCTGGTCTTCTGGGCTCAGGGCTCCTGGGCTCCTAGGCTCCTGGGCTCCTGGGCTCCTGGGTTCCTGGGTTCCTGGGTTCCTGGGTTCCTGGGCTCCTGGGCTCCTGGGCTCCTGGGCTCCTGGGCTCCCAGGTTCCTGGTCTCTTGGGTTCCTGGGCTCTTGCATTCCTAGACTTCTGGGCTCCTGGCCTCCTGGTCTTCTGGGCTGCTGGGCTCCTGGGCACCTGGGCTCCTAGGCTCTGGGACTCCTGGGCTCCTGGACTTTGGATCCTGGATTCCTTGGCTGCTTGTGGGCTCCTGGACTCCTGGAGTCCTGGGATTCTTGGGATACTCCAAGGGTCTTGGGGTCCTGGAGTCCTAGGGTCCTGGGGTCCTGGGACCCTGGGTTCCCATCACTCACACTGACATTGTCTGGAGCCAAGGAATAAGGAACCAAGACAGTAAGTAGTCCAGGAGCCCCGGAGCCCGGGAACCCAGGAGCCCAGGAGCCCAGGAGCCCAGGAGCCCAGGAGTCCAGAAGTCTAGGAAACCAAGGGCCCAGGAGTTCAGAAGCCCAGGAGCCCAGGAACCCAAGGGCCCAGGAGTTCAGGAGCCCAGGAGCCCAGGAGCCCAGGAGCCCAG